AAATGCCAACGAAGTATCGACATTCATCGAATTATTATGAAACATCTTTTCTTGAAACGATAAACAAACAACTGATCACACTTTAGGATTCATTAAAAGAATATTTTGTCCTATATCAGTTTGCTCTGAAGGATTACTTTTGATAGTAATGTTGTCTTGCATTATGATATAGTGAAGTGTGTCACACGCAGTCTTCTAGATTATATTTTCACCTCTTGTTCCATTCTAAAATATCTGATATTAAGAAAGTTTGCTAATGTGTAAACACAGGGAGTTGGATAACCACTCAATCCCTTTGAATGTCATGTTGTTAACTTTCATCTAAGATATGGGATAGTACCTGAATATCCACATGGGGGGGGGAGGTCGCATGACTTTTGTACTATTTCAAATATCATTTATCATAGTATTAGGTTTACTTCTAATCTCTATTAATCTTTCTACATTTTATTAAGATCAATGAAAAGATTTTCATTCAATTTATTATATAAATGAGATTACATTATATTTTGACATTACTTGGCAACCTTACTCTTTATGGATTGTAGATTCCTGTACCATTCTCTTTCTCTGTTATTTCGTTTGGACTTATATGAAAAAAAAACTAATTTGTATTCCATAGAGTATTTGAATTCAATTCAGTCTAAAAAGTAAGCACTAAATACTTTCACATCATTATGCGTAAACATTTGATATCTTGCAAAAAACATACTGGAAAGTATTATTCTATCTAAGTACAAACTATTCATTCCATTGTAAGATGTTGTATTGGTTAAAACTTGTTGTTATTATTATTATCTTTGTTGGGATATTCAGGAAAATATCCCAAAAATTATCCTGTTAAGCCTAATGCTAGCCTTGGACATGAAATGCTATCATCTTATTGGTCAATATTTGTTTAACCTGTCATTTTCCTACTGACCATTATTGTACAATGTTATTTTCTATTTTATGGTACGTTGTGGTCTGCTTGACTGGTATATAAACAAAGTATGTTTGAAATATAAGGACTCATACCTCCGAGGCTGTGACAATCTTCTATAATCGTGGGGGGGGGGTTGGTGTGTTTTTTTGGTTACATAATTATAAATTATTAAAAATTTTATTTTATGAATTTTTCTCTTGACAACAACATCTACAATAATATCAAGTATGAAATTCTACTTCATATATTCTCTTATTTGGGTTTAAGAAGTTTACTTCGTTGTGCATGTGTATCTCGGTAAGTGAATGTTATAGTAGTTATGTGATTTATACAATTTTTTTGTATTTTTGTCTTGTATTATTATTATTATTATTATTTTAACACATAGATATTGGTACAAGAAGGCACCAAATACAAATGCGCCACACAAATATCATTCGATATGTGTGAGGGCTGTGATACTGCCCGGGTGCCCAAACCGAAGCAGGTGGTTTTCTTAGGGGGTCACACCCGGAGCCTTCGACATGAAGGTCTGATCCATAAGGCAGTGGGGCATCGTAAGGAGATGCAGTCTTATGGTTCATACGCCATTTGTTCCCGTAGGATACTGGAGCCCATGTGCACCATTGGTTTGAAATCCTGTTAAAGCTCCGGACATTCGCTTTTCGTCCTCTCATTTTCGTAAACAACACCCCTGCCACGAGAACGCAGTGAGTAGGACTTCCCTGGCAGAGGCTATATACGCGTGGCCATGTGAGAGCATTTGGAGAGGGAGAGCGGACTCTCCTCACTCTCGGCCGTACCAGGGCATTTGGAGACCTTTGTCTTGTATATATATGAGTTATATCATATCTTTTAAGAGTTTTCATTCTAATCAACATGAAAATATAAGTAAATATACAAGTTATTCTGTGTGGGGTGAGTGGGGAGAGTTTGATCACCTTCTCGAAATGCTCTCACATGGCCACGTGTATACAACCACTGCCAGAGAAGTCTTACTCGGGGCGGGGATGTTGTTTACAAAATTGAGTGAACGAAAAGTGAATGTCTGGTGCTTTAACTATGTTGGTGGATACAGAGGATTCACCTAAGGGATTGGTAAACCCTGAATCCAAACCAATAGTACACATAAACTGCATGATTCTGAGGGAGCAAATGGCATATGAACCAATTGTTGATCACTGGCTACCATGGGACTGCATCTCCTTTACGTTATTCCACTGTCTTGTAGATCAGATTTTTATGTCGAAGGCTCCGAGTGTGGCCACCACCTGCTTCCGCCTGGGCTTGAACTTTAATGTTGGACGAAGTTCAACAATGAATTGATTCATAGACAAAAGAATAGAACTGTATTACACTTGAATAAAGTATCTAACATTCAAATAATAATCTTCAATCAAATGTATACACTTAAAATAAATCAGTTGTCTATTTTAATAACCTATTGGCTCATTCAATAAAAAACAAAGAGAATTCACTGAAGAGAATTTTCTTTTTCAAAGAAATCATTTACTTCAGTTGTGTATAGATACTTATTTCATTTCACAGAAAAGGGTTTTTGTGAATATTATAGTATTTTAATAGTTGATTTCATGAATCAGTTGAAACTAGACTACTATGGAAAACCTGGAAGCATTAGACAACTGTCCCGTCCTAGTATGGGACTCTTCAGCAGTGGGCATCCACAATCCTGCCCTGCGGAATTCGAACCTAGGACCTTATTTAATTTATTTTTTATTATAATTACATCATTCATTTTAATCAATTTCTGAATAATTACTGTTTCACCTTGATTATACCTTTTTAAATGACCTTACTACATTGTACTGATAATCTTCATCACTTCAATTATGCACTGATCATTGTTGTTTATTTAAACTTATTATACAATTGAATATAAATAAGATTATAAAGTAAGAATGAATGAATATTATTCTAAATCAATTGTTGTCATTGTTCCATTGAAATTCATTTGAAAAAAGGGAATTAACCTTATGAAGAATTATAGATTGATTGACGTTTAAGTTTAATGCACTAATATTGGATAGCAGTGGAATCGAGTTTGACGCGCGTTTCGTCCTATTTGGGACTTGTCAGCTAGATGTACCTGTATCTTAGAGTTGATGTTCACTCTGGAACTCGAACGCAGTACCGTTCGCTTTAAACGTTATCGAGTTATCCACTTAGCTACTAAGTCCTGATAGCCACTTGCTTGTGCAATGGGTTGGAGTTTAAATTCAGTTGGTATCGTTTGTTTGAATCTTCCCATTGTTATTTAAGACTGCAATTGATCAGTCTCATGTGGATGAGTCTCAAATAGGGAGAAACGTGCGTCCTGGATTTCACTGCTAGCCACTATCCATCTCTGCTTAAAAAGCTTGTGACTTATGGCTATATCGAGGCAATGCGCACACGATGCATATATACCAACAAAAGACTGATCAATTGCAATCCTAAATAACAATGGAAAGATATGAGTAAAGCAACACCAAATGAGTATGAACTTAGCTTCAATGTTTAAGTACATATAATCAACTTTTCGGCGAGATTATAATGTATTGACGAACCAATCAGATTTACGATAACAGTTCTTGGATTTCGGCGCGAAATTCACTCATCCATTTGGTTAAATAGCGTCTTAACATTTTAACTGATATCAGTTCGTGATAAAAAAAAGCCCCTAAATCTGATTGCTATCCTTATCCATCAACTGTAAATCACTATCCTTATCCTTCACACAGGTTTAAAACCTTCATTTAGCCCTAGTCATTAGGTGGACATCCTCAAGGTCACTTTAGCGTCACTCAAAGGTCGTCCATAGAATTCTAATCTGAACCAACTATTCTAGTTGAAATTAATGAATTCAAATTTATATCGGTGTAACAATCAACAGCTTTGAACATGGAATTGTATTCTTATGTTCGTTTATTAGTTGGTGAATTTCTTCATAAAATAAAATACAAACATTTTTCTCTCTTTTATTTCATTCTTTTTCTTGTTTTATTCCATACAGTCAATTCCGTTGTCTAGTTAAAGATACACTGGCTAATATGACTAGTATAGATCTTCAATCATTTTGGCCAATATTAAATGATTCAACATTAATTAGTTTAGGTAAACGTCTTGGTCAAGTTAATTTGACTGCAAGAGCAGTTGTTGAATATTATACAACGGGTCAATCGTTAGTTGCACCAATCACTTTATTACGTCGTCAATGTAGAGAAGAAGAACAAGAAGAAGTGAATAATGATGAAATTGAAAATCAATATGTAGCTAATCAACAGCACAATTTAAGTACACGTTTCAATTACCGTACTAAAACACGTGTCCATACACCATTTGCTGCACGAGTACGTAGTTATAGTCCGAATGCTGCTGCACGTTTACGTAATCATACCAGGTTATTGGATTCCATTCCTTCCAATATACAAAATCTATTAGTGTATAATAATAAAGATTTTCCTGAAAATGAAAATGATACTGTAAATCAAAATTTGAATGTTAAAATATCTGATAGTTCAGTAGAAGCATTACAAGTACAAACAGATGAATTAAATCAAGGTGATTATTTTGAATTGCCAAATTCTCATCTACGACGTTTAGATATGTCGTGGTGTGGAAACTATTCTATGGTGAGTTTAAATGCTTGTTTAGTAGATATGTATTCGTGTGTATACATGTTTATTTCTGTTTTAAAACTCCTAAAATGTTATCAAAAAACCTGATGGAAGCACTAGACAGCCGTCTCGTTCTAGTATGGGACTCCTCAACAGTGCGCATCCACGATCCCCCTAGCAGGACTCAAACCAAGAACCATCGGTTTCGCACACGAATGCTTAACCTCTAGACCACTGAGCAGGCCGACATCTAACGGTGTTAATGTCTAACTTCAACCAATCCACAAAATTGCGCCACCGCCCACCAGTGTCTTTAGCGAGTACATTGCCTCACAACAGACACAGTTGAACTCCACTCCAGTACTTCCAGGTTTTCCATGATGGACTAGCTTTAATCGACTCATGAATTCAACTATTAAATAATAAAATGTTGTCAATAGTATTTCCCCTATTTTTTGGGTGTATATGTGCTTACAATGAAATTCAAACATCACATTAACGAACTTACTTACTTACTTACTTACTTACGCCTGTTACTCCCGATGGAGCATAGGCCGCTGACCAGCATTCTCCAACCCACTCTGTCCTGGGCCTTCTTTTCTAGTTCCTTCCAGTTCTTGTTCATTTTTCTCATGTCTATCTCCATTTCTCGGCGTAATGTGTTCTTTGGCCTTCCTCTTTTCCTTTGACCTTCAGGATTCCATGTGAGGGCTTGTCTTGTGACGCAGTTGGGTGCTTTCCTCAATGTGTGTCCTATCCACTTCCAGCGCTTCTTCCTGATTTCTTCCTCCACTGGGATCTGGTTTGTTTTCTCCCACAGTACGTTGTTGCTAATAGTGTCCGGCCAATGGATCTGAAGTATTTTGCGTAGACAATTGTTGATAAACACCTGTATTTTCTGGATGATGGCTTTTGTAGTTCTCCAGGTTTCTGCCCCATACAGTAGAACTGTCTTGACATTTGTATTGAAAATGCTGACCTTGGTGTTGGTTGACAGTTGCTTTGAGCTCCAGATGTTCTTCAGTTGTAAATATGCTGCTCTTGCTTTGCCGATCCGCGCCTTCACATCTGCATCAGATCCACCCTGTTCATCAATGATGCTGCCCAGATACGTAAAGGTTTTTACATCTTCCAAATCTTCTCCGTCAATTGTGATTGGATTGTTGCATGTTGTGTTGTATCGGAGAATCCTGCTTTTCCCTTTGTGTATATTGAGGCCTATTGCTGCTGAGGCTGCTGCCACACTGTTTGTCTTCTCCTGCATCTGTTGTTGCGTTTGGGATAGAAGGGCCAGATCGTCTGCGAAGTCTAGATCATCCAACTGCATTTTATATGTCCATTGTATCCCGCGCTTCCCTTCAGACGTTGACGTCTTCATGATCCAGTCGATCACCAGGAGAAAGAGAAAGGGTGAGAGTAAGCAACCTTGCCTAACACCGGTCTTCACTTTGAACGACTTTGTCAACTGTCCTCCATGCACGATTTTGCAGTGTAATCCATCATATGAGTTCTGTATGATATTGACTATCTTCTGAGGCACGCCGTAGTGTCGAAGAAGTTTCCATAGTGTTGGTCTGTCCACGCTATCAAATGCCTTTTCGTAGTCAATGAAGTTGATGTAGAGTGATGAGTTCCATTCAATTGATTGTTCCACAATGATCCGTAGAGTTGCGATTTGGTCTGTACACGATCTATCCTTACGGAATCCTGCCTGTTGGTCACGAAGTTGGGCGTCTACGCAGTCCTTCATCCTGTTTAACAATACTCTGTTGAAGACTTTTCCCGGTATTGAGAGAAGAGTGATGCCCCTGTAGTTATCACACTTGCTGAGATCGCCTTTCTTCGGTATTTTGATCAGAAGTCCTTCTTTCCAGTCTTTTGGTACTTGTTCCTCATCCCAAATCTTATTGAAGAGAATGTGGAATATCCTTGCATTTGCCGCTACGTCTGCTTTTAGTGCCTCTGCTGGGATGTTGTCCGGTCCTGCTGCTTTGCCACTCTTGATTTGTCTGATGGCCATGCTGATTTCTTCAATTGTTGGTGGGCCAACATTGATTGGGAGGTCCGTGGGTGCTGCTTCGATGCTGGGTGGGTTCAGTGGAGCTGGTCGATTCAAGAGTTCTTTGAAGTGTTCTACCCACCTGTTTTGTTGCTCTTCAATGTTGGTGATTACCTTGCCTTCCTTGCTTTTCACTGGTCGTTCTGGTTTGCAGCGATTTCCAGAGAGTTTCTTTGTCGTGTCATACAATTGTCTCATGTTTCCTTCTCTTGCAGCCTTTTCCACCGTCGTTGCTAAATCTTCCACATATTTACGTTTGTCAGTTCTGATGCTCCTCTTCACTTGTTTGTTTATTTCCGTGTATTCAGCTTGTGCCTTGGCTTTTTTTGCTCTTGTTCGGCTGGTATTGATCGCCGCCTTCTTGTTCCTCCTTTCTTGAATCTTTACCAGTGTATCAACAGTGATCCATTCCTTGTGGTGGTGCTTCTTGTGACCCAGGACCTCATGACATGTTGAAGTGATTGCCTCTTTGATCCCCTCCCAGTTGCTCTCCACAGTAGTTCCTTTTCCATTGAGTAGATCATGAAAGGCCTGGAACTTGTTGCTGAGGACTATCTTGAATTTGTTGAGTTTGTTAGTATCCTGAAGAAAGGCCGTATTGAACTTTTGTGATATTGTCCGCCCCATTGTCCAGTGCTTCTTGAGTTTCAATTTCATCTTGGCGACCAGTAAGTGATGATCTGATGCTATATCAGCTCCTCTCTTGATTCTCACGTCCTCTATAGTCCTCCTGAACGTTTTGTTGATGCAAATATGGTCGATTTGGTTTTGTGTAGAGTGATCCGGTGAAGTCCATGTGGTTTTGTGTATGCGTTTATGTGGGAATATGGTGCCGCCTATGACCAGCTTATTGAAGGCACATAGATTTGCAAATCTCTCACCATTTTCGTTCCTTTCTCCCAGTCCGTGTCGTCCCATGATGTCTTCATATCCAGTGTTGTCCGTTCCAACCTTGGCGTTGAAATCTCCCATCAGAATGGTCAGGTCCTTTGTTGGGCACTTCTCGACGATTGACTGCAGCCTATTGTAGAATTGATCTTTAGCGTCTTCATTGTAGTCGTTGGTAGGCGCATAGCATTGGATGATGTTCATTGAAATGCCCTCTTTCTTTGTTTTGAACGAGGCTTTGATGATTCTTGGTCCATGAGATTCCCATCCTATAAGTGCATTTTGTGCTTGTTTGGACAGCATCAATGCAACTCCTTGTGTATGTGGTGCATTTTCTTCTTCATGGCCGGAGTATAACAGGAGCTCTCCTGTAGTTAGTCGTTGTTGTCCAACTTGTGTCCAATGTGTTTCACTGATCCCAAGTACCTCTAGGTTGTATCTTCTCATTTCTGCAGCAGTCTGGAAGGCTCTTCCGGTGTCCCACATTGTACGAACATTCCATGTACCTAAATAAATGGTCGCTCTGGTTGTCATAAGGGGCATCGGCCTCGTAACTTCCGAAGGGATTCGGCTTTCATCATGAGGCGTCATAATTCTTCTAAATGAAGACCTTCTGACTCCCAGGGCAGAGTTTAAAAGATTTGAATAGTTTTTTCTGGTTAGCGTTTTTTTAGCGAGTTAGTTTTCTACGGGATGGGGACGCTAACCCCATGCCCAACCCTCCTCCTTTATCCGGGCTTGGGACCGGCAGTAGCCCCCGGAGGGACTCCAGGCGGAGTTACATTAACGAACTAGTTTATGTTATTGGTATAGGCTTTAAAAATGCTATTCATATATAATTGAACTAAATATTATAATTACCTTATTGAATGTCAAAGAGAATATTTTTTGTTGACTTATATCAATTAACATTTCAATTGAATAAACTGTCATGGATACAAACTTATTTATCCAAAAGGGGGTTATGTAATCATTTTGAAACCAGACACGTCTTATGGAAAATAGTTCATCCAATTCAATTAAGCCATATATATCAATATGAAATTAGTCTTCATTTTTAGTGTTATTTCAACTTGCATTTATTATTTATTATTTATTTGAACACATAAATACTGGTACAAGAAGCACCAGTTACATATGCGCCACACAAATCTCATTTGTTATATTTGAGGGCTGTGATACTGCCCGGGTGCCTAAATCGAAGCATGTGGTTTTCTCAGGGGGTCACACCCGGAGCCTTCCGCCTAAAGGTCCGATCCACAAGGCAGTGGAGCATCGTAAGGAGATGCAGTTCCATGGTAGCCAGTGACCAACGATTGGTTCATACGCTATTTGTTCCTTCAGGATACTGGAGCCCATGTGCACCATTGGTTTGGAATTAGGGTTTTCCAACTCCCTTAGGTAGACTCTCCATGTCCACCAACCTGGTTAAAGCGCCGGACATTTGCTTTTCGTCCTCTCAATTTCGTAACCAACAGTAATGCCACGAGAAAGCAATGAGTAGAACTTCCCTGGCAGAGGCTATATACGCGTGGCCATATGAGAGCATTTGGAGAGGGAGAGCGGACTCTCCTAACTCTCGGCCGTACCAGGGCATTTGGAGCCATGAATGATTAGGGATTTTATCATCTATTATCATTATAACATCTATCCAAGTATTCTAATAAAGTTACCTCTAACCGGATATCGTTAAAAATTATACATGCATATAATTGCCTAATGAATGAGTTTATTTTGTAAAGGACGAGATAATGACAGGCTTCATTTCCCAAAAGATATCTATATACGTTATCCAAATCAATTTTTTTCTTCACTCTTCGGTCTTTCTTCAAAGTAATCAGGCATGCATTTGACAACAGTACGTATCAATATCAGCTTTATAACACCGCGTATCAACAACAGATTCCTACATAATGGTCAAGTTTAACGTAAAATTCCGAAACCAAACATTAGCTTTGTCTAAAAATGTAATACTAATATAGAAAACTACATATTCACTATAGATTTACGAACTTCAAATTATAAAGTGTTCGTGTTTCATTTATGCATCACTAAAGAGAAAAATTAACCTTAAGATTAAGTTCGAATAATATTTTTTCTGGTTAGCGTTTTTTTAGCGAGTTACTTTTCTACGGGATGGGGTCACTAACCCCATGCCCAACCCTCCTCCTTTATCCACGACCGGCAGTAGCCCCCAGAGGGACTCCAGGCGGAGTTATCGTTAAGATTAGTTAATCAGAATTAAATTAAAACACACTATAAACAATCGATGTGTATGTTTCAACGAATCGGACGATTCTTCAATTAACCTGTAATACACTATTCAATGACGTAATTATAGGGATTATATATCATATCCTTCTATATAGATACATCTTCAAACAATCTCTATTTTAATTTGTTTGAAACAACTGAAAACAAGAAATAATCGAAACATTATAGATTACAAAATAATGTTTGTCAAAATAATAGTACATAGGTAAAAGTGCATACACATCATAAATAGGGATGTTCTATTTAATAAGATGGTTTTTCATTGTATGAAAAAGTTCGCAAGTATTGATTTTTTTTAGAAAACTTAGTGATTAATAGACCTAAGAAATTGATTTGATTCAAATTCAATTCGATCCTCCTAACAGTATTACTTACTGTTACTCCTCGTGTAGGAACATAGGCCGTCCACCAGCACTCTCCATCTAACCCTGTCCTGGGTAATTCTTTTCAGCTCTTTCCAGTTGTTATCCATCCTTTTCATATCTGCTTTTATTTCCCGACGTAATATGGTCTTTGACCTTCCTCTTTTCCGCTTTCCTCCAGAATTCCAAGTTACGTATGGCCTTGTGATGTAGTTTGGTGATTTCCGTAATGTATGTCCTATCCACTTCCAACGTCTTTTCCTAATTTCCTCTTCAACTGGAAGCTGGTTTGTTCTCTCCCAGAAAAGGCTGTTACTGATGATATCCGGCCAATGAATGTTGAGTATCTTGTGTAGACAACTCTTTATAAATACTTTTACCTTCTTGATGATGGTTGTAGTAGTTAGTTCATTGGTGATTATATTAATTTTGAAAAAAAAAAGATCGATTTTTTCGGCTTTTTTTTGTTGTTAATAGATATCACCAACAGCATTTGGTCATTTCCTCACTGATGCTTGTCGTTATTTAACTACATTACGTTTGTCTAGTTGTAAATTTCTTAACGATGATTGCTTGTTACATATTGTCAATACTTGTCCATATATAAAAGGTGAGTAGTAGAATTATAATTCATACTTATTTTATCATAATGTTCAAGCTTAGCAACTAAACACTGATTATTGCACTCAACTTTCAGTCATATGTTTTAATGTGAAGGGTATTATATCGATTTGAAGTAATTAGAGAAGGGTTAAGTGTTATAACTATTTATCTGTCACTTATAATCATGTTTGTGACTAAGTTCCTATATTGTGTATGTTAATTAGTGTTAATCTTTAATGATACTGATGATAATACTTCTCGGTTGATGATTGATTCCTAAATAGAACAAAAACACACTTTATGGATTCCACTACTAGCCACATTTCATCTATTCTAATATTGACTTATATCATATTGGTTATATCAAGGCAATCCTCAT